TATATATATATATATATAGCTACGTTTTATGTGGCTAAAATTTGTCGTGGTAGTAGCTGGAAGTCTTCTCCAACACATACTCCTAGCACCTACGGATGGTAGAAAATCTGGTTTTAAAACTTTTTCATAAACCATTGAAAGCACTTGTTTGCTTGGAAACAAAATATGTCACAAACAACCGTTTAATTTTCATGAAACTCTCAGACAATAATCACTGGATGTCGCTCTAGAACTGATTATTGTTTGAAGTCAACCCAATTCAAGGTGACCACCAAAGCCAAATGAAGTTTGGAAACATAAAATGCTACAACTCATTAAATTTGAGAGATATTGAGATAAAATGTGGCGTGGTGGTAGCTGAGTGTCATTCACATTACTTACTTTAAGTACATGTTGGATGACATCTTTGCTCAAAATTGTGGCAATGAATGTTGACTTCAACTTTAATTTTTATTTTAAACAGTGGTTAGATTTTAACAAAGCATTTAAAAATAATAAACCCAACCACTCTAAATCTAAACGGCCTCCACATGTGACTGACATTTAGCCAAAATAAAAAAGAGCTATAACATATAGTGCACCCATTGTAAATAACATGTTGTAAAATGTCACTAATTATCATTATTCAGGTCACTTTTCTTACATTATGCTATTTTATTTTTACAAAATAATAAATTGTATATGTTAATATTAAATCATAAATCTAAATGTTAAAGCTTACATTTAAGAATTTCAAAATGGAATACAGCCTTTGCCATTGGTGCAATGACATCATTATTCTGCGATAAAAGCAACAGCTAATGCTGCTAATGCTGCTGCAGATAGTATTTAAAAAGTAAAATCAAATTGTGTTTATTGGAAACCATACGGATGGTACCTGTGGTCTATAAGTGCAGCTCAGACACTGGCTGCAACTGCAAGTTTGATGTCTTGTACTGCAGAAGCATTAGCAGTGTTAGCAGAATTAGCATTGTTAGCCGCTTAGTGTTTGCTTTTGTCGCAGGATGATGATGTCATATCAAGAGCTAGACAACAACAGCAAAGGCTGCGTTCCATTGTGAAATACTTAAACGTAGATTTCAATATTTAGATTTAAGATTTAACACTAACATATAACATTTAGATTTAACATATAGTAAAAACAAATAAAATGTAAAAACAGTGAGCGAAATATTAAAATGTTAGTGGAATATTTTAAACTTAAAGTGAGCTATATAATGAAAATGTGCTAGTGACATTGTATGTATTTTACACTTAACACCACAAAACAAAGTTCTTTTACAGATATTGAACCTTCAATAGTTTACTTATTTTCCATATATTGCTTTTTAGCAGTGGTGGGCAGCACTATTCTAAATATTAGTTGCACTAATCTTAAAGCACTAACTCAAATATTTAGGTCCCCTAATTCTAAAATTTAGCAAAAGCTAATTCAAAAGCACTAATATCATCCAGTTGACACATGGACCATTCTTCAGGGTCAACATGAGACAATATTTACTGTGTGCAGAATTTTGTCACTTCGTGTCTTTGGCGGGCCAAATGGGAGTCACCTACAGGCCACATTTGGCCCACGGGCCTTGATTTGACACACATGACCTTGTAGATAAGTGACACATATAYKAACAAAATGTGTGACAGCACCCTCAACTGTGAACAATAATGTTGATCAATGACATTTAAAGACCTCAGTTAGTGCTTCTAAATTTAGCCCGCAAATTTAGCAAGTGCTAATCCACTAATAAATTTTAAAAAATAGCAAAAGCCCTAAAGCACTAATTAGGAAATCAGTTCCCCTGTTAGTGCTTTAGGGGAACTGTGCCCACACTGCTTTTTAGTGTCTTTATTTTGCAGTTTAAATCTAAATTATCGTTCTTATTTTAATAAGCCAGTTATATATTTATACATTTATTTCCAATAATGATAGGTTATGTCCTCCATATATTTATGCGTGAATTTAGAATATGTTCTGTCTCAAACGTACAAAAATAAAATAAATCCCCAGCAGGTTTGACGTTTGAAAATTCGAATGTATAAATTCCGAGCCCGGCGCGGTGCCATGAACGCAGCGCGGTTGTGAGATCAGCTGATTTTCTTACGCTGCCATTTTGTCCGGCACGGCAGCAGTGAGTTGAGTCAGTCCATGAAGGGAAAGCAGTGCCGACACGTCTCACACAGYGGCACCGACCGGGGACCGGGACTGGGACTGCTGGCGAACCAAACCGAGTCGGTAATGCGGTGGCAGCCTCCGGACGTCTGCACCGACCGAACCTGAGCACCGTGAAGGGAAAAGGAGCGACTGAAAGGAGCTGTCATTTTTTTTCTTTTCTTTTCCTCCAACTCACCGGGGTTCCGCCGGTGCTTTTCGTGGCAGGTTTTTTTTTTCTCGACACAACACCGGGCTGTGCTGGCTGGGAGCGTTAGCTAACTGTCGCTAGCTCCTCGGCTAACCCTCTTCTGACACGGGAGGAAAGTGCGCCTGAGCCCGGCTGTCAGCTCCCAGCCTTCAGAGAGAAACTTCAAAATGTTTTCTTTATCCCCGAGTGACTTTTCTCACCCGRCAGAGGATTTAACCCAGTAAACCGCTTCACAACCCGAGCTAACACAAGTTTTTGACGTGGAGGAGGAACTTATTTTTTCTTTTCCCCTTTTTTTGAAACTTCGCAACTTTATTGCTCCGTTTCTTCGCCCAGTTCGAGGCTGGATTTGTCTTTTTTTTCCTTTACCCCCTAAAAACAAACAAACAAAACAAAGCATTCAGGCTACAAACCAAGCTAATTAGCTATGTTTATTTGTGGCCAGAAAGTATTTTCGAGTGTGTCCAGTTTCTACAGTGGGACTCTTTCCTGGTTCGAGTGCTGCAGCGGAAACATTAGCTAACACTTAGCTGYCAATGCAACACTGTCACCGTGCTTTATTTACTCGATAAATACACGGAAGAAACTTTTGCCAAACAACTAAAAGCAGGAGAGGTGCAGCTGATTGTGAAAGCTTCAACTCCAGCGTTATTTCCCTGCGGACTGTCGGGAGGAAACAACCCGTCTGCGGGCTTTAAATCCCGCATTGATCGCATCGTTGCTTCTGTTTTTTTTATTTTAACCCCCCACATTTCTGTAGGGGGTCTGATTGATTAATTAAAGTAATAGGAACCATGTCGGGCCAATCTATCACGGATCGGATCACCGCGGCTCAGCACAGCATGACTGGCTCTGCCATCAGCAAGGCTGTGTGCAAAGCCACAACACATGAAGTCAGCGGACCCAAGAAGAAGCACCTGGACTGTGAGTACACCTGAATGTTGTCCGGATTTGTGGGAGACGAGCTCCTCTGATGGGTTTCTGCAGCTAAAGCTCACCTCCACTTCGTTTTTAAGATGAGTGGCGTCCAGTCCTGGCCCTGCAGAGCCACTGTCCTGCATGTTCAACAACAGACAGTTAGACATTTTGTAAAGGTTTTCACGTTTTTGCTAGCGTTCCCAGGAGTCTAGACCAGTGGTTCCCAAACTTTTTATCTTCTGACCCACAAAATATTCATGACAAAAACTTGTGACCCCAAATATTACTGGTCTGAGTACACAAACTCCGTTAATAACCCTAAAAACACAGGCTTTTTGACAATCTAAACAGCTTGTACA